TCTACTACACCTTGTCAGGAAAGTTTTCGCCTCTGGCGTAAATCGTGTTTTGTACACTCCGTTGTTTTCATTTTTGACGTTAAATAATTCTGCATTCTCACTCTCCAGTGTTGATTTACTTTCCGTCGTTGACAATTTAAGCGCTATGTATGCATGATGTGAAAATTACAAATACATATTTTGATAAATCTATATACATGTATTTTTGATGTGTTTTGGTCATAAACAGCAGCCTGGCTTGACGCAGTGTGGTGCCCAGTAGTCAAAAAGAAATACGACAATGGACATAATAAAGGGCATACGTCTGCTTGTATCGTCAGCTGCATCGGGGGCGGGGTCATATTCAAAGGTCAGTACTTCTGCCAGAGGGTGGTTTAGTGAGTTTAGGAGAAATAAATATACAGGTAATTTTGTGGGTTTAACGCTATTTTTCAGCACGTGATTGTATACAGGGTGGCAAGATCATTTGATGGACAAGAACAACCCGCGAAGCTTTCTCACACGCACACGTTGGTCCAACTGAGATTCGAACCTACGCAGATGGAGACGATATTGAGTGGTCTTTTGAGGATAGCGCCTTAGACTACCGGGACACCCAGGACCCCTAAACTAGGGAAAGTAAAATATATAACATTTTCGTCCAAAGATTATTTTGTTTTATGAAAATAAAATAATTGTGCCGCACAAACATCAAAACTGAGAAGATTGTATATTCTTCAATGTGCATTTAGTAGACGGATTTTTTCTCTTTTGGAAATTTCTTTTTAGTTAGAGGCCTTCCCACACCATATACCATTGCGTACATTTTCTTTTCAAATAGTTGAAAAGCCATCTAATGGTTGCTACATTCTGTTTCCGTTTCTTTTCGGCAAGAGAAAAAAAACATACTGATGTTTTTACCTGTAATTTGAAATCTAGTTCTAAATTACTATTATGTTTACCCTAAATTTAATTAGTATTCATTCCGATTACGTATTGGTGTTGTCCCCGTTAGATCTAAATATAGTAGTTGTATCTTTTTCTGTGGAGATCGGCATAATTATCTGACCTTGTGACCAAATTGTCTACGAAGGGTCATCCGCTTATAAACTGACATAAGTATTTGTTTTGTCTTTTATTTCATTTTATAACATTGATTAATACCTTACTAACATTTTCAAAGCATTTTTTAAAATATATATTAGGTACGGGATAAGCTTTTCTACTTTTCAAACATAACGTTTATGACTTAGAAAATCTTTATTTTTGAAAGACAATAAAATTAAAGTATCTGACTTAAGGCCAGTACTGACTATACACATGGGGCAGTAAATTGTACAGTATGGTTTTAATACTATTTTGTAAATTAGAATACGTTAGCATTTTTCTTAGAATATTAGTGTATTGTCACCTTAAGAGGTGGGGGCATATTTGTAACGTCGTTTATTGCACTTCATGTCAATAACAAAACAGATGGTTATGGACAGGAAGTAAAGATTACACCTAAACCACTACATCTTACAACGATTTTGTAATGGTCACGTTTTATTTGTCCCTTTTGATCCTAGCTGTGCTTTGATAATTTGGCTCTACCTTTTGTATTCGCTTATAAGTCGAGTCCAACTGCAAACTGCGCCAGCAGATCAGGGCCTGTGCAACTTGTTAGGAGTAATCAGCAGAACCAACAACATAGATCCTGATATGTAGGCGCATTATGTTAAGAAATATCAGGATCTTTATTATTTACAATTGGACTCGACTTATAAGCGAATATACCACATTAACTGTCCTTTTCCAAGACGAATATGGTATGTGATGCAGCAAATAATGACTCTATTTATAAGAGAAGTTACTACATTAAATGTCATTTTCCAAGACGAATATGTTAGGCGACGCAGCAAATAATTTGCCAGCTTTTATGACAGGAGTTCTCAAGAGCTTTTTTTACCTTTTTGGAAGCAAAATACGACATACATCATATTGCCACTTTAAGATAGCAATTGGATTGTTAAATATATTATAGGCATTAATTATTATGCAATAAACGAAGAATAATGTATGGAATGGAATGACCCATATAAGCCGTGATTAGAAGTCAACCAAGAGTATCGAGCTCGAGATACAAAATACTTATTGAAACTCGGAAGACGGCCTGGGTTGTTAATTGCAAAGGGAAATTGGAAATAATCAGTCTGGATTCAAACGATATATATCTGGAAGAGATCATGTGTGTTCAAGCTAACTAAACCCTTGCAAACTTGTTCTATCACAAAGTTATATCCAACCGATTTATATGCACCTATTTTCGCTAACCACTGATTTTGCATCGATGTGAAACGAAGTGGATCGATAACCCATAACTAATCTAAAATGATCCATGTCTTTTTCTTTCTCGGAAAAGGATATTAATAGCAAAAATAAAATAAAATAAAACACAATATAAAATAATCTCGGTCACAATATGTTGGATAGAACCGAAACAATTATATACTGGTTAAGTGATTACTGTATTTAACTTTAAAAAGTTAAAACGACAGTTTTCCGGAACATAATTTAACACTATTAATGCTCCTGTATACTATAAGATGTAGAACAGGTCCAACACGCCCTTCTGCATGTTGTAAAAGGCGACACATGGTGGTATCCCATGACGAGTCCCGTCATGATGTTACAGCTGAGAAGGTCATGCATTTTCACAAGAGTGTAGTTTATATGAAAAATTTGATTTTATGTTGTAAGGTTTGTATTCTTTCTGCCTTTATATTTGTTTTGCATACCTATTTAAATATTACATAAGCTTATCTGTCACTGTATAGTCAGCATCGTACTGATGACCGTTACATACATACATACATACATACATACATACATACATACATACATACATACATACATACATACTTACATTCATACATACATACATACATACATACATACATACATACATACATACATACATACATACATACATACATACATACATACATACATACATACATACATACATACATACATACAACCTTCGAATATCCCACTCGCAAGTACGCAATTTGCTAGTGGAAAAATGTCTTTTGCGAGCTCAGAATATAACAGGTAGGCGATATTTTTCAGCCCAGAATATCGCGATTTTCTGCCTACTTTTATTTACTAAATGTCAGTTTGACTTGCGATTTCAGTTTAGACGCGAGTCGCAATTACAGAGAATATAGAATTTGAATAAAAATAATAGTATACTTGAACGTCTTCAATGCGTGTCATGCGCGTGCGAAAGGCATGCTGCATAGGGTAATCTTCGGCGCACACATACCCACCCCTTTCGGCGTATTTTCAACTGTTCATCTGTAACGAAGTAACTCGGCAATATTTGGATCAGTTCAGATTCAGAAAAGTTGATTGCGTCAGCAGCAGCACCCTGTCACGCTCAGAGATCACGTGGGTATCACGTGTTGTGTGTTCGTTTCCGTGTACTTTGTTTTAAATTCATTCTCTTCTATTTTGTGTTTACAATGGCTTTTATTCGTCCTCAACATCGCTTGATATCCTGTGTTTGGATTATTAATTATTGTTTACATTGATAATTAATAAAGTTATTTAGAAAATTCGAAATAACTGGTACTTCACTGCTCTATTCAAACGTCACGTGGGCGTACATAAGCTCGAGCTTGCATTGACTGATTTATAGGTTAGATATTTTTTTGTATATAAAAACTGAAATTATTATCTTTTAAAAAGTGTGCATATATATATATATATATATATATATATATATATATATATATATATATATATATATATATATATATATATATATATATACACACACTTTTTAAAAGATAATCATGCAAATTAAGCTAAAAATATGTCACAAGATTCTGTTCAAAACGCTTAATAAATATTAGCTTTGGTTCGAGACTGCTTTTTATACTAACTCTCCCGGCAGTGGTGACTGACTGACCCCCTCCCCGAAAAAATCCTGATCCTATCCCTCGCAAAAGAGCCTGATCCCCCACTTGCAAAAAAAAATCTAACAGGCGCCCATTGATGTGCGATGTGTGGGTAAAGTAAAGACACTAAAGATTTTGGTTCGTAAACTTACAGATTTAAGCAATTCAGATTGTAAAGAGACATAATCAAAATTATTGCCTTTGTGGAAAATCAGTAACATTTTCCTGATCGGCGTATTGTGATTTTTATCTCACGACATACGGCAATATCTAGCAACAAAGGTGTAAACTGGCCCAATCTCGTTCGCACCCGAGTTCCCAATATAAACATCAAACGAATGTGAAAGTCCCCACGCTACCATACGGAAGTGCATACGGATCAATGGCAGTTTAAAGTCCCGTTATAGAACTACGCTTCTATATTCGCAATACCAAAGTACAGAGGCATGTCGGCGTTTCACTAAAAATAAAATTACTCACTATTCCCCATCTGTACATTTTCTTTCTTGTGATTAGGTCATTAACCCAGGTGTTACCCAAGTTAGATCAAAGACTTCTATAGCCCCGTTAAGAAGCGGCATCTCCCTAAAAGATAATTCTGCCGTTCCTTCTATTATTGACCGAAACGGATCCAGCCGTTTGTTTGCAACGAAGTGTTTCAATATTTGTTTATGTGACGATCACATACAGAAAGTGTGCGTGTAATCTCACACATGGTGTTTATAGAAGTATATGAAAAGATGAAGGCAATGGGAAAAGATCCCATTGGCACTATGTTGTATGATGCACTGACATATAAGTGTTATGTACGTTATTATTTTTTGTTATTTTTTTCTTCACTTTTGCCACATACAGAAAACTGTGCAAGTCTTTTAGTAGCCGTTTGGAATTCACTATTTATTTTAATTTATTTCATATCACATACTGCATAATTTACATTTTAATATGCCATTTATCATGACATATTTTTCCTTATTTGTAATTTTGAATCAACAGACTTTGTTAATCCTCATAACACTGTAATTTTGTTTACAACGAATAAGCAAACATTTCTCAGATATATTACAATAGCAAGTCGACCACTCCGGTGGCCTAGTGATTAGAGCGTCCGCCTCAGATGCGAGAGGTCGTGGGTTCAATCCCCAGCGGAGTCATACCAATGACTTCTAAATAAAAATGGCACTAACAGCTACCTCGCCTGGCGCTCAGCATTAAGAGGTTAGTGTTAGGACTGGTCGGCTTAGTGTCAGGGTAACGTGACTGGGTGGGATTATTATACAACATGTCTGCGGCATGATGACCCGGTGCTAGATATCACTATAAACTGCCACACTGCAGACGTCGAAACGATATGACCGAACAATTGTTAAAGCTACGTTAAAAATCAAAATCACACGAAAAAGATTAGCTATATTTTTGATTTTGAAAAATGCTTATCAACAAAAGTAAAAATTTATTCTGATTCAATGTTTTACAGTATTTCGTCAAAGATAACAGTGAACAACAAAAAAACATTCAACCCATTCTGCGTCATCGGCATCATTTTCATAATAGATATTTCTTTGTAAAAGACTTTGTTTTGGAATGAATACGTGAAAGAATATAAACTGTCATACTGTCCATCAAAACATAAACTTATGGTGCCCATTGAATATAATGAAACAAATGAAAATGGAAATCGTGGAAAATGTTAGCAACAACATTATTGATTATAGAGGTAATAGTGACATTAGAAAAGGGTCGAGCAAATAACCTAATGAAATGGGATACGCGAACTGAAATCAAGCTTTTTCACTTTGTTTTGACAAATAATTTTGGAAAGAAATTTAAAAAAAAAAACCTTATGGAGTAATGTATACATTTGGCCAAGTAAGTGTTTCATATAAGTGATCCATGACTGCAGAATGACGTTTGTTTATTTGAGTAAAATCTTTATGCCGCTAGAATGGTTCGCTATTATGCGCTTGCTTACATTGAATATTTTTTTTTCTTAAAACTTGAAATGTCTTCTATACAAAACCTATAACATACTGATATAGAACCTAATAACAATTTATAGTAATATGCTAATTGCAATTAATTACTGGAGGGGGGTAGTGGTCTGAGGCGATTTACTGATCACAGCCATGTCACTTCTTTGAATGAATCGTTTCATATTACAAAGGTTTGTTGATTGATTAAGTTGCATAACACATATTAAAAACGAATACTCTTAACGTCCGTCATTCATATATCTTACTTTGTTACGATGAAATGAAGAAATATGCTAAAGCCTTAATATATAAATTTTGTTGAAAAATATTTTCATGGCAGTAACGGATCTTTTCCGATTCCGCTGTAGTTGACCCTGTGATGATAATATTTCCCTAAACAGTCTGATTGGTGTTGAATTAAAATTATAGATTAATATAAATTCAGGACATACCGGATAACATTATAATTTCTATGTGACAACATGTAATTTGAATACGAAAGTAAATGTGTATAAAAATGACAGCTATAATAAAATCATCAGTCTCAATACCGCTATACTATAGCTTAAACATCGGCTCCAATTTCACTAAGTCCGCATAATTCGCCAGCATATCAGGGTCCGTGTTCTTTATATACCGATTATTCCAAACAAATTGGACAGACCAAAATCTGCCGGCGCATTGAGCAACGCTTGGGTTGATTTATAGGCGTGTATATACAGTTCTTATATTCAGTAAATCATTTAAGATTTGAGGAAAAAATATGCAGAACAAAGGAAAGGAAGATAACATTTTATGAAACCACACGAATAAAGATATTTCACCGGTCACATTTTCAGATTGATCCGTTCATCAATGCAGATGTGTTCTATGATACAAAATATAGCACAGGAGAAAAATAATAGGGGTGGATGGGATAATAAAATTGAATCGGCTCAGTCTATCCTCGTATATGGGACAACGGAGAAGGGATGGAGTGGCACACCTACCATCTGGTAAATAATCTGACACTGGCAAGATCAACAATCCGACATAATTTTGTGTAATCCTATATCAGATGGAACAGTAATCCAACAAAATTTGATCTGTAATCCCAGATCTGACAGGAAGGAGGCTTGCAACAGATGTATTCTACAGCTGTCCAGAGACAGGCGTTTTGTTAACTCTTTTGTGTCTCGGTTACGAACATATATACATCAGCACAAATTTTAGTTTGATCCGCATCCTGCAAAATAAAGTGAAATCTGTTTCACTCACACGTCTGTTTAATAGCCCAGAATAGTTTATTTCCTGAATTACGTCATAAAATTTTAAAAAATTGGTTCATATAGGGGTTGGTTTCAGTGATATCACTTTCCACCCTGATTGTTGTGTGTACATACATACATACATACATACATACATACATACATACATACATACATACATACATACATACATACATACATACACACACACACACACACACACACATACATACATACATACATACATACATACATACATACATACATACATACATACATACATACATACATACATACATACATACATACATACACACACATACACACACACATACATACATACATACATACATACATACATACATACATACATACATACATACATACATACATACATACACACACACACACATACACACATACATACATACATACATACATACATACATACATACATACATACATACATACATACATACATACATACATACATACACACACACACACACACACATACATACATACATACATACATACATACATACATACATACATACATACATACATACATACATACATACATACATACATACATACAGCATGCATGCATCATCTATATCGGATACGAGAACACTCAATACCACAGCTCGAATTTCTAGCTCACAATTGGAAAACACCAACTGACAATGAATGCCAGGACAAAAATAAGATAGGAAAATTGATACTGAAGAAACTAAAATAAAGGAATCGACTATCACTATCGCCGGAAGACTAGAGGGATTATGTTACGAAATACTTTTTCACTTGCACTGCGGTGAAGTAATCAAATGTTGTCTGCTGGTGTATATATGAGGCTTCATTGTTTGTTGGGTTGTTTTTGTTTGTTTTTTTTTTTGTTTTTTTGTTTTTTCTTCTCAGAGTCAGTAACTGATACCATTTTGGTCGAGTCGCATCACGCATGACACTATGTTAAGGCCAAAAGTCTAATACCCTAATAAACGTATATGCAAACTGAATGCCTTCTTGGCTGTGGGTGCAATCAAAATAAACGAACCCGATAGTTTATTTGCCGTTCTTCAGTCACTGTTCTCCGCTCTCCTTCCTGTTGCATACCGGTTGTAAAATTGTGATGACAGAGATGAGAACGGATTCCGACGACAGAGAAGCCGTTACATACCGGTGTTTGATTAAAATGTTAACGTTTGTTACTTCCCGCGCTGTTATTGATGTATAAGAGTCTATACCGGATAATATTGCCGTATTAGAGTCTTTAGTTATACCCTGTAAGTTATTGCTGTATTAGAGTCTACAGTTAATACCCTTTAAGTTATTTCTGTATTAGAGTCTACAGTTATACCCTTTAAGTTATTGCTGTATTGGAGTCTACAGTTATACCCTTTAAGTTATTGCTGTATTAGAATCTACAGTTATACCCTTTAAGTTATTTCTGTATTTAAGTCTATAGTAATACCCTTTAAGTTATTTCTGTATTAAAGTCTATAGTAATACCCTTTAAGTTATTTCGGTATTAAAGTCTATAGCATTAATACCCTTTAAGTTATTACTGTATTGCTATATTTGAGTCGATACTCTGTAAGTTATTGGTGTGTTAGAGCCTATACCCTGTATAATATTTCCATATTAAAGTCGATACCCTGTATGATATTTCCATATTAGAGCCTATACCCTGTATAATATTTCCATATTAGAGTCGATACCCTGTATAATATTTCCATATTAGAGCCTATAACCTGTATAATATTTCCATATTAGAGTCGATACCCTGTATAATATTTCCATATTAGAGCCTATACCCTGTATGATATTTCCATATTAGAGCCTATACCCTGTATAATATTTCCATATTAGAGTCGATACCCTGTATGATATTTCCATATTAGAGCCTATACCCTGTATAATATTTCCATATTAGTGCCTATACCCTGTATGATATTTCCATATTAGAGTCGATACCCTGTATGATATTTCCATATTAGAGCCTATACCCTGTATAATATTTCCATATTAGAGTCGATACCCTTTATAATACTTCTATATTAGAGCCTATTCCCTGTATAATATTTCCATATTAGAGCCTATACCCTGTATAATATTTTCATATTAGAGTCTATACCCCGTATGATATTTCCATATTAGAGTCTATACCCTGTATAATATTTCCATATTAGAGTCTATACCCTGTATAATATTTCCATATTAGAGCCTATACCCTGTATAATATTTCCATATTAGTGTCTATACCCTGAATAATATTTCTATATTAGAGTCTATACCCTGTATAATATTTCCATATTAGTGCCTATACCCTGTATACTATTTCCATATTAGAGCCTATACCCTGTATAATATTTCCATATTAAAGTCGATACCCTGTATGATATTTCCATATTAGAGCCTATACTCTGTATAATATTTTCATATTAGAGTCTATACCCCGTATGATATTTCCATATTAGAGTCTATACCCTGTATAATATTTCCATATTAGAGTCTATACCCTGTATAATATTTCCATATTAGAGCCTATACCCTGTATAATATTTCCATATTAGTGTCTATACCCTGAATAATATTTCTATATTAGAGTCTATACCCTGTATAATATTTCCATATTAGTGCCTATACCCTGTATACTATTTCCATATTAGAGCCTATACCCTGTATAATATTTCCATATTAAAGTCGATACCCTGTATGATATTTCCATATTAGAGCCTATACTCTGTATAATATTTTCATATTAGAGTCTATACCCCGTATGATATTTCCATATTAGAGTCTATACCCTGTATAATATTTCCATATTAGTGTCTATACCCTGAATAATATTTCTATATTAGAGTCTATACCCTGTATAATATTTCCATATTAGTGTCTATACCCTGAATAATATTTCTATATTAGAGTCTATAC